GAGGTGGGGGAGCGGGGGGCCGGCCAGCGCAGGCCACTTTTAGGTGCGATTCTTTTGCTAATTTGCACGATTTCAATATTAAAAGTACTTAAATCCGCTTTCAAAGGCCCTGCCTCACCATTCATCTTGAGTATTTCCTTCTTTACTGAGGACGGATTTCGCTGGGTGTGCGGTTCTAAAAAGCTTTCTCCAGAGAAGCGACTTTTTTTTTTTTTTGGCCTGAGGTCGAGGGAGGGGACGGTGAAAGAGGGCTCAGGCGGAGAAAGAAGGCCTGGGTCTAGGAAAGCCGTCCTTACAAATAGCTTACTGAACATCAGGGGCAAAGATACTGAGTGCTGCGGCTGAGGCTGAGTCAGATTCTTACCCCGTGGCCTGCGAGGCAGAGCTGATCAGTAGTCACTTGATTTTCCTGAAGATTTTTTCAAGAGTGGGCTCTGCCTGGACACTTGCCTGTTTGCCCCAGCCCAGTTCCCTCACCACCCCCACCCCCAAGTCACAGAGTCTTAACTCCACGCTCTAAACTTTTCTTGCAGATGATACAAGCAATACAAGTACTAAGGTTTCATCTTCTGGAGTTAGAAAAGGTAAGCAGGAAAGAACACTCCACCGCTCTGAGGTGGACTTCCCTCTCCTGGCAGAGTTGGGATTTTTTTACAAACCTCCAGTCTGAGGGATTGAGCACCAGGAGATTTTGAGCAATACAGTTACCAAGACTTTCCTTCAAATTGCTCCTCAACCCAGGGGCTCAGAGGATGGGTGAATTAGGACAGCCCTGCCTTTTAAAGTGGCCTCCCCCCTCCTTTTATTTCCCCAGGCATTCAGGATTATTTTGAAATGCAGCAAACCATTTGTGTTACTGGACATTCAGCCTGCTTGCGTCTCTATTAACTCAGCTCACCCTGGGCCCTGGGCGTGCTTTAGGTGCAAGCAGAGGGAATCCTCCTCGCTGGGGTGTCTTTACATTGCTCTGCAGCTCAGTCACTTTCCCCTGGAAACATGCAAACCTCCTAGCTTATTGAATCGCAAATGCTCGTGCTGTTCCCAGTTGCAGCGTTCTAACATTTTGATGGTATCATCAAATCGGATTTTTCTCCCTGGACTCCCAGTCTGAACCCAGTTATTTCCAGTCCTGTTTCTTCTCTCTTCATTGTAACTTGTTGCTCAGGGAAGTCTCTGGAGAATAATATGTGCTGCAACAACTGCTCTATTGTTTCCTCGACTTCAACTATATTATACCCATTAATTAGACTTAGTTTGGAAGACATCGCACTGTTGCTCTTTCCAAATGTAACCTTGCAACATGATATGTTTCCCTTTAAAAATGAAACAAAACAATAACAACAACAGCCCGAGCTGAACTCTCCACCCTGACCCCCCTTTAGGTCCACGAACTGTGCGATAACTTCTGCCACCGGTACATTAGCTGTTTGAAGGGGAAAATGCCCATCGACCTCGTCATTGATGAAAGAGACGGCAGCTCCAAGTCAGATCATGAAGAACTTTCAGGCTCCTCCACAAATCTCGCTGACCATGTAAGTCTGTGAGCCTCTGGCATTCTTTTAAGGCCACTGGGCAAAGCATTTCTTTTCTTTTTTTAAAACTTGTTAGCACATCTAGCTCCACTGACTTAGCTTTCTTTTTTAAATGATTTGGTCTCTTTGGGGGTCTTCTCCCTTTCTTAGTACCTCTGCCACACTCTTCCTCTTCCTCTCCCCTTTCTTGGGTCCCTTCCTTATTTATGTGGAGAACCAAAAAAACCAGGGAGTTGATAGAGTGATTTGTGCTCTTAATGTGTAAAGTTTCCTGGATTTTGGCGACTTGAGTGTTAGCAAATTGTCTGTTTGATATGATGACCGCTGCCTTTTCTGCTTTCTCAACTCTGTGCAGTCAGTGCAGCAGGGAGAGAGAGAATCGAGAAAGCTAGCTGGACAGGATGGGGGAGAGAGGACTGGAGGAAAAAGGAGAAATGGGGAGGGGGGGCTGATTTCTCAGTCTCTTCCGAGATGACAATCCCGAGAATTATTGCCACTCTTGCATTGCATTAGAAATAAAAGGAGTGAACACTTTGTAATTCTCAGAGCTTTTGCTCTGTAGAAACTTATTGTCAGAATATGGACTTATTGCCAAACGCCTGAAGCATCTTTATAATAAAAGACAGTAACCTTGATGAAACAATTATTAACAGTGTATTGCGGAAAAGCTGAAGGGAATTGTGATTGAGCAACCATAGGTTAGTGGTTGAATTTTAACACTTTAACAGTCCGTGAATGAGAACAGAGAGTGTGGTAAGGAGCTACTGTGGATGTCAGGCCAGGAAGGGAGATTTCTTTCTATTCTCTCTGTTTTTAATCCTATTTTGGAACTGATCTAGTAAGTCTGATGCTTTTAGGGGGGGAAAAAGCATATGTAGTGAGATTGAAAATTTGAAAAAGAAGCAAAGAGAAAAAGGATTGCAGCTGGTAGGAAAGGCAAGAGTGGTGAGGTTAAAGAGTGGGTGTGAACAGCAGTTTATTTATAGGAACCCAAGCCTGGGTGTCTATAGATTGCGTTCAGTTGAACTCACAACCTAAATGATATAGGCTATAGTCTGATAACTTGCTGGCTGAAATATTAATTTAACACTCTGTGGAGTTAAACAGGCGTTGAGGCTTGAAGGCACCCCCTGCCTAATTCCTGCGTGTTAAGAGGAATGAGTTGAGATGCCTTAAGAATAAGCCTTCTGTGAGGTTCCCCATCCCCCCATCCCCCCACGAAAAGTTTTGAAAATATGCAGTTATAGATTTTAATTTTCAACCTTTGTGTTGTATGAAAAGACAGTCTAAGGACAAAAGTTTAAAAAGGAAAAGAAAATTTCTGTCCTGGTTATGTAGTTCTGAGACAGTATAAATAATATGGTGTTGAAAGCTCCTGTGACTCTCTGTACTCTTGGCTTTTCCCGTCACGATGGGGGGAAACTTCAGGAGCTCTTTTGTATTATTGAGCTTATTAACTGAACTCAAATGGGTGCAGCAGCAGCTATGTTAGTTTATTTGCTGATAAGTAGCTCTGAGATGGATGGTTGTAGTCCTCGAGCCATGACACCACCTTTGTTGTTGTTGTTGTCTATTTGTTTATTTATTTTTATTTTTTATTGCTCCCTGTTTCTAAATTCATAGGCATTTTACATTATTGGGGGAATGGGAAGGAATCTAGTTACCTGGTTTGCAGAATGAGAGGTTCACAGTTGTATGCAGCCAAAGAGCTTTCCTCGTGACATTTCTAGGGGTCTCGGCCACTTGGTTTCCTCAAACAGTTTCTTGGCAACTCTTTTTCAAGTGGATGTATAGAACTAGAACATGCTGATGTTTACATAAAAGAGATAAGATAAACTAGACTGTTTAGAGTATTGGCTGATAGACAAGCCAATTTATGGAACAATTTATGGAACTATTTAAATTATACTCAAGAAGGAAGTTGTACCTAAGAGGATAATGCTTTAGTAACGTAACAATCACCATCTTTGGGTAAAAGAATAGACTGTAACATGTGTTGCTCCTCTGTCAGGCCCCCAATCAAGTACATATGACAACTGATTTATTTTGAACCCATGAGGGCTTGCCACCTCATTGGGCATCAGAATTTAAAGCCTTTTATTTCCTAGAGATCTGAACTATAACATTCTTACTTTAGCCCCCTGCTATTTGTTTTGAAAGGAAGCAATAATTTGTTCCACCAGCACACTGAGTGGGGAATGGCGAGCTTTGCCACAGACTTGAATTTTATGCAGGAGGTGAGAGAAAACCTTGGAGAGTTTTCACCGTTTCTGACACTTTCGTACCAGAGGTATATTGATTGCGTTCATTCCCAGTCCTCCCCCTACAAAGCGAATTCTCATGCTTCAGCCTCTTCTGCAAGCAGGACCTACCTCAAACCTCCCCCATCCACAAAACAAGGGAAAATGCCACAGAACCACTACCTGAAAAGTGGTCCTAGTGGGACATTTTCAGCATGTAAATGTGCCCAATTTGAATCTGCAGGTTTATTTTTTCATTTGCTTTGATATGCATATTTAATACGTTGCCCCAGGCTGGATCTCATTTGGTGCTCGCTGGTGCAGGGGTGATGATGAGCCACTTCAGAAGGACTGAGAATGTGTTGTTTTCTCTGTTTTATCTGTTGGCCCACTGTTCTGATCTACTGTGCTTCCGCGTGGTTTTATTTGCACATGAAATGCTGAGAACACTTCAACTTATTGGCTATGAATAATGACAGCTGAAAAGAAGTGTAGTTTAATTTGTTGTGTGCCAAGGTTTTTCTTGTGGAGGTGACAGTTTGTGACAGCTGTTTGACACCCCCAAAACACATACACCTCTATCCGTATTAAGTGGTATCAAGCTATGTGCGTGTGTGTGTGTGTGTGTGTGTGTGTAAGGAAGGAGCGGGCAAGGAGAGAGTGAGAGAGAGAAGAGAATAAGCTTGTAATTCCGTGGCGTGGACAGCAGACGGAGAAGTGTCAGGAGCAAACTATTAGGTACCAGAGGAGCTTTCAATTTTCTTATTAAAATTTTTCGAAAATAGAAATAAAGGTAATCATCAGAAATACCTTGAAAGCAAGTGTTTTGGGCAGACTTTTAAGAATGAGTTTTATATATTATCACATAGTCATCAGGCTGTTGCCATGCTGATTTTGCCTTCCATAATTTTATGTGAATAATGTGATATAACGTAGATGCATTAAAGAAGGCAACCACAATGTTTTACCTTCCATGTTATATTCAGTAAAGATACTGAATTTGTTAATTTATTATTGATACTTAAAAGACGGGCCTAATGATACAAGAAAGTTTGGAAAATACATTGTGCAACATTGGCTACTATTTTATTTTGTTTAATAACTTCATAATGAATGCTTACATTTTCAATATGATAATGTATTTTATGATATACTCATGACAAAAGTAATCGTTATAGGGAAGAAACAGCTCTCAGAGTGTTCTTTGGAATACTGGGAAGAAAAAACCATGTTGGTGAAAAGAATAGAGTTCTATTTTCCAGCTGCAGTTCATGTTAAGTTTCCCAGACATTCAAATTTATCATGTTTAAAATAAACATGTCAAGAAACCAATTCTTAAAAAAAAAGTTTCAACTTGAAAACTGTTGTGGAATAATCGTGCTTTTCCTAGTCTGTAGCCTCTCTGAATAATAGATGATATCCACATTGTCTACATAATTTTAGATCAAGTCTTTAGGACTAGGGCAGACAAAGGAAATATATCTTCATATATAAGTGTATCTTTATATTTATATCTAAAGATATTGCATATCTTTAGATCAAGTTTAGACCAAGAAATACATTTGTTTGAAATACATTCTCTAAGCTAAGCTCTATTTGCCTGAAGTCCATACAGTTATATTGCTATTCCTAATTAATGCTTATGAGGAGCAACATTTTATTTTTTGGACCAATTAAGTATAGGGAAGAAAATATAACTGTATTTATTAACAGTTCATGATAAATGCTTTAAAATTGACTGACTCTGATAGCGTGACTAATAGAAGAAAAAATATTTTAATTTTTATGTTGAAAGCTGTAGTTTAAGTGACGATGCTGTTGTTTTCCTTTGCATCTCTGAACACGTCGAGTGTACTCATGTCGCTACAGTTCTAACAAATGGGCTAAGTCAGGGGGGAGAATCCCCAGAACCTTGTTCCTGACAGAATACGGCCAAGTGTCTATAGATAAATTCTTTTATTACTTGAAAAATTAGAGGGGAGTAGGCAGCAAGGAGAGGGATAGTTTCAAGTGATTGATCTATAGAAATCCAAGAGGGAAATAATGGGATTTGATAATAATATTAATAATATGAATGATTTATTTTATCAGATAGTTTCTTCCTTCTAGTGTAGGACTAGGCCTCACAGTGAGTTACCGAAGCCCTCTGAGGATCTGTTCTGGGGAAGTTCTCCCTCTCGGCCCTGTTCACCAACTCAAGGCGACATGGCTGAGGGCATGGGTTTTCTGCCGTTGCTGCTGCATAGTTTCTGGTGGCTTTTCTGTCGATTTCTCATCTTGAATAATTATATTAGTTAAATCAGTTAGGTTGTACAGTTGGAGTATGTTTTCAGTGTCACAGTGATGAGATATTAAACAAAGATGCACTTGACAACCGCAAGCATTCACTCTCAGATTAAAATGATATTTTTCAAAATTCATTTTCTTATTTTATTCAGACTGATAGCCTGTGGAATATTTCAACACAACTCAAAACTATAAGAGACATATTAGAATATGACATTATACCAACGATACAAGAAATTTCCATTTTCTCTAAAAGTTGCGCCATTAAGTGGAGGAATCATTTGCGAAGACTACTTGCCCCTTTTGTGAATGCTGCTCCCATATTAATTCCCAAAGCTTACTAGAGGGTGGAAGCGGGAAGATGAGGGAAAGACCTGGCTCTGTGTACATTTCTAAAGACTGACTCCATGTTCTGGAAGCACCCGAGCTTCTCCTGAGTTCTCATGTCTACTTGAGAATAACAAAGTGGAAATTCCAACATTTTTCAAACCATACAAGAGACATTTAAAGTTTCGTAGGCTTGAATACCTTATGATAGGAGTCTTCGTCTTATTTAAAAATAATTTTTGCATAATGTCAAGAGTGAAAACATCATAAAGTCACAGGAAACATGTTAACGGTATTCGTTATGTGTACCGATACAAGCAAATCTTGCCTAAACGTGTTGATCAAATTAATTCGGCGCTCTCCATTTGCTGATTAAAATGTCTTTATATATACATTACTTTCCACCTATGAGCACATAGTTGGAATTTGTTTACTGTATGTTCCAAGTTCATATATAACTTTTGACTCTGCGTTGTATGTTTTCATTGTGTAGGTTCTAGAAAATCAAATGCTGTTTTAAATAATTTTTAATAGTAGCAATAAGCAATGAAAGTAACCTAAGGGGTTATCTTGCCTAACTTCTTACTTTTAAAGAGATAAAGGGCCATGGTGGTTGAGCATTGACCTAGGATCCAGGAGATCATGGTTCCATTCCCCCGTCAGGGCACATGCCTGGGTTTCGGGTTCGATCCCCAGTAGGGGGCGTGCAGGAGGCAGCCGATCAGTGACTCTCTCATCGACGTTTCTCTCTCTCTCTCTCCCTTCCTCTCTCTGAAATAAATAAAGATATATATATTTTTTTAAAATAAAGAGATAAAGGAAACTAGTTTCAGGAAAATAAAGTGCGTCACTTGCTTAAGTTCACATGACCAGTTAGAGGTGGCACCCCAGAGTCTTCCTTCCGATCTCATGCTCTCTCGCCTAATTCCATCCATTGAATCACCTTTTCGTTTGGGGTCTGAGATGAGTTTCAGATTATTTTAGATAAAACCTGTGTGTAGGATGGCTTCTTTTTTTTTTTGAAGCCTAATAATATTTTACTTCCCCACTCAGTTTTGAATTTATTTAGAAATCCTCATGCATTTACTACATTGTCTCTTTGGATCGGAGAACCATGAGCTGTGTGCAATCACTTAAACAGGGAAATATCGCCAGTTCACCAGGACATATTAAAGAGGACCCTAGGCAGGTCCCCCACAGAAATGCCGTAATGGTGTAAAATGTTACAGTTTCCACCGTATCTGCAACCTCAACAAAAGAGGTACACATGTGATTTGCTTCCTACGCCCGGAGACTCTTGTCCTCTCTCCACTCTTTTCTAGATTTAGCAAAATTCAATGATGGTGCTAAATCAATTTTTTTTTTTTTTTTTAACTTTCAAGGGAGAAAACACTGGCAGAATTGTGTTTTCTAGGGAAAACTCTGTGTAAATGAGAAACAGAGGAGAGCGGCAGAGTGATCTCCTGTGGCCCCGCTCCTACAAGCTCTCCCCATCTTGTCTCCTGCTTTTATATTAATTACAACTTGCATTATCAGCTGTGAGTCTGTAGCCCAGCAAATAGAAAATACTGCCCCTGGAGACCTAGCTTCTTGTATCTATTTTCCATCTCCTTCTATTGTGCTCCACTCAGTATTCACTGCTTTTCTCCTGCTAACACTGCTCTTTAACGCAATTACATAAGAGCAAGAAGAGAACCATATTTGACTCCCAATTATTAAAGCCACTGGGAATAGAAACATGCTCACTCCTTGCCCTCGGGTGTCTTCGTGATCCTTTTGGCTGGGGAACAGGGCATGTATTGTGGAATGCATACACCTGAGTACTCGCCCCCACGTATGCACACAGGAAGCATTTCTCTTTTTTTTTCCACATACGTCATGTGTTTTATACGCTTTCATATACCACTTTGGCTTCAAGATTCACTAAACTTGTGCATATAATTTGGCAGAAAGCCAGGCCATTATTCTTGAAGGATATAAACTTGGAAACTATCTAGGGAGGGGAAAGAAGAGGCAAAAAGGAGTTGTGATATAAACAAATATTTCACTTTAAGAAAAAAAAAGTGTGTGGGCACTGGATTGTATTTTATCTGACCATGTAGGTTGTAATTTTTTTATGACCAAGGAGATAACAATTTTTCATTGACCAGATTATCAGTATTTGTCTTAGTATATGATCAGGTCACCATGGTGTAGCCGAATAGAGACAAGTTTGGGGTAACTCCTCAGCCTTGAAACCCCAGAGGGATTATTCTGTCTTTCCTGCTTTCAAGTTGAATGAATATCACGGTACACCTTAGGCTTTGTCAGTCTCTCAACCTAGACCATAATACTTGAGACACTCTATGGAAATAAATACCTGAGAGAGAAAAGAGGGGAGAGACAGGGGCATGGTGGGCTAGGTGGTGAACTTGAGCCAATCTCAGGTCTGGGGTGAAAACCAAAGACCCAACTCACTTGGAAAAGCCAGCTGCCCTTAAAGTAATATTTGCTTATGTGGCTTATTTTTTACTCCTTTACTTTAGAGAACACCTCCTCCAGAAAACCATCAAAAGAAAAAACACGGAATTATAAATTAATGAGGCCTGACTTTAAACGCAGTACAGGTTTGACTGATAGGGACAAACCAGCATTTTCAGGGGCTGGAAATCTTTCTGGGGGATCCCTTCAAATCTCTGTAGTGCCCAAACAGAAAGCCTGACTCCAGCTTCATTTGAACGATTATATAATAGCTATTGGATGACATTTGCCTTAAAACATAGTTGAGGTGTTAGTGGTTAATTATTGTAATTTTCATGAGGGGTAAGGAGCTTTTATAGCAGCCGGCTTAATAAAAAGCCTGCAGTGCATAAAATTAACATCACTTGCTGTGTACACTGAAAAGTTTAGCTTAGCTGAATGTGTTGCAGCTATTGCGTTTTCTAAAAGAAGCCTCTAGCCAGTGTTGTTGCAGGACCAAACTCACACCATGTTATTGTCTCCCCCCAGCCCCCATTTAATTCTTCTAGCTCTTTATCTGATTACCATCCGGCAAACGGCTGACGCGAAGAGGCGGCAAAGCTTGAAGAGCCCCCATATTCTGTTTGCCTTTAGGTTAAAACTGTTGAAAAAGTTTCTGACTTAGATATAAAAGAGAGCTCACAGGCACCACTTTGTCTTAATACCGGAAGCAGGGATCCTTGGTTTTCATTTTATTCTACGCAGTTTCATTCCCTAATCTACTTTATAAAACATCTGTATTTTAGAGATCTCTACCTTTGCCNTTTCTGACTTAGATATAAAAGAGAGCTCACAGGCACCACTTTGTCTTAATACCGGAAGCAGGGATCCTTGGTTTTCATTTTATTCTACGCAGTTTCATTCCCTAATCTACTTTATAAAACATCTGTATTTTAGAGATCTCTACCTGTGCCTGTGTATTTATAGTCACAAAGTTTCTGCTTGGGGTTTTCACTTTGAATCAATTGCATGCCTGATGGCAGTGCCAGTAGCATTATTTGATAGAGATGTTATTATTAATCTATAGAGCTTTGGGTCACTTCATCATCTATCAAAAATGCTAAATATTAATTTACAATCAGTGTGTAGCAGATCTGTACAGGAAAAAAAAAAGCTTTCTCTGTTGTTGTTACAAGTAAGAACAGTTTCCTATTTTGTCTGACCTTGGTTTATAATTTTATTTTGGTAAAATTTTATGTTCTATGTGTACATCATGGAGTTGATATTGAGAAAACTGATAGACTGATTGTTTTTTCTGGATAAACTATATATAATGACAACACTGCAAGATTGCTTTCAGATGGTCAAGATGTTTGCCTGTTGCCTATAGGCATGTCGCTCTGTCTGAATCCTTACCAATTCCTGTTAGAAGAAATAGCGTACTTTCAGAGATTGGTGGTGTTTTTTAAAAATTTCCCCCCAAAGAATTCCCCCCACAAAGAATGTACTTGCAGTAGGTCTGTGGGCTTAGGTGAAGTCATCGCATCCAGGTGACAAGTGTACAGTGCTGGCCTTAAGGCTGGTGTGTTCCATGTGCTGTTCCTACTCTCCGCTTCTGCCAGAGGAAATTCCATCTCTTCCCTGCCTTCACGTGGTGCTGATAAAGTCCTTCCTGTACATTAGAATTCCTGTTTTCCTTTAAGCAGCAGCAGGGTATTGGGAATGATCAGGAAAGGGGCGGAGGGACAGGAGAAGAGTACACTCAGCAAAGCAGTGTGAGCTATGACTCTGTTTGCCTCGCTTGTCCTTTGAAAGAAGTAGGTTCTTCCAGGAAAAAGCACTGTGTGAATTTAAAGCTTTCATGGAGCTCACGGGAAAGTCCTGTCCGGTTTATTAAATGGCTAACGGTTCATAGTTGTTTCACTTTTCTGTTGTTTGAGCAAATTAAAGTGGAATCGATCATGTCTGAGGTATGGATGCAGTGATTAATTTTGCTGTGTCTGTTGGTTGTATAAACAGCTGATGACAATTTTGAGAGTTTGGTCAGGCTCTTTTAGGGCAATGCATTTGAAAGGTGTGAAGGGCTGTCTCATACATTCTTGAGTCTGTGTGTTTTTTTTAATTTTTAAGGGAGTCACTGAGTTTTGTAGATGTTAATGTTCCGAAGTATTTGGTAACCAGGAGCATTGGGATCTGTTTCGTGGAAGAGTGTGCCCTAATTAAGATGGCAAGAGGAAAAAGGACTTTTAGGTTTTTAAGTAAGCTTTATTTTTCTAACTTTAAACGTTAACTTGATTAAGGCATCATTTGCGTGTAATAAAAATGCACCCATTTTAAGTGTCTATATCAATTTGTTTTAATAAATGTATACACTGATGTAACCATGACCTCATCGAGGTTCTAGAGTATCTTTTTGGTACCTGTTGCTGAAAAGACAACAAGCTGTAGCATGGCATCTACAGATGCCTAGTTCCACAAATACTAATATGTACACATTTTGTCTCTCTCTGCACCTCTCTTCTTGATTCCTCATTTATGGCTGAAATGGTAACTGTGGAAAAATTTCTTGGAATCCTGACATCAGAATCCTGCATCTTGGCGAGATCACGATGATGCAACCTCCACCCACTCAGCAGGCACCCCAGGGCCCTCCAGTGGGGGTCATGCTTCCCAGAGTGGAGACAACAGCAGTGAGCAAGGTAAAAGGTCAAGCGTTTTCTAAAGTCACTTCAATATTTTATGACATCAGTACATCTGCCTCCCTGTAAACAGGAGGATGGCAGGTTAGGGAGCATAATCAGCTGCGATTTAGGGAGACTGTTTAGTATTTCCTCTCTTTAACTTACAGTACTTAAAAAAAATCAAAGTGAGATGTCTAGTCTTTAAGTAGACTAACAATTGATTAGTTCTGCCAATTCTTTTACAAATTTGGTTATCTACACTTCTTTGTGTGCGTAAATAGAATGACTAGTTCCTGTGCAGCTATGTGCAGTAGTTTTAATTATATTATAAACACTATATTTTGTTTGTAATATCCATTATAAGAGTTCTCTATAATCAAGCAATAATGCATCTAAGCACATAAGATGCAAAAACCTTTTCTTTTTAGCTCCAGAAGTCCTGCACAAATTTTAGATGGAATCTTATCTTGGGAATATGGATTTTGAAATTCTTAGAAAGTTATTTGTTTCCATTCACCATACATGATGACTTTTCTTACAAGTCTTAAAAATTAGAATAGTCAAAGGGCAAGGGGGAGGTGAACTGCAGATGACAAGGAAGCCTACTGTAATGTGGTGTAAATTTTACCATTTAAAATTCACCTATTGCACAGAGAGCAATTATGTATTGATAAGGATGATTCTTCTATGGCTAAAATGATAATTTAAGGGAAGATGCATTACTGAATGTGGGCCAGGAAAGTGTATAGATTTTACTTTTTAATATTTTACATTAGATGGTGTCTGATCTCCTAGGTCTATTTCATCTCTATTATGACTGTGTTTATGGCCACGATATTTAAGTATTAGACAGTCTTCAGGGTAGAGGACCGGTTAACAGCTTGAGCTGTAGTCATTTGTGTCATTTAAAAGAGGATGGTTGATGTAGGGTGAGTGCCTTCACTCTTCCAAATTTCTAGCCATGGATTTTGGATTCCTAATATTCTAGAAGAGTCTAAGAAAATGTCCCTTCTAGGATGCCATTAACTTGTGAACGGGCCCAAATTAGAATCTAGGTTTATGCAAGTTGCAACTGACACAGATATGAATACCATCAGATGGTACACTGTGGGAGAACTCGTGAGTCATACCTGTTGAGGCTTTATATACTGCGTTTATTGGACCAGTTAGATTGCATGTAAGACAACTAAACTATAAGGCATTTGAAGGTGACATGTATATAAATTCAGTGGATCTGCGATGCAATGGCTTAATTGTAGTTCCGTGTCATGGTGATGGGCTGACTCCTCAGTGTGGTTAAATCTGGAAAGCTTTCTATGACTCTACCCTCCCTACCACCCCAAATTGCTGCGACATAAAGGGCGAAATGTATCTATTAATAAAAACAAAACACCCTAAACACTGTACAGAAGAGGGGGAAAGGAGAGGCAGACTTAATGGTCTAATGAGGCTACTTCCAGAGACTTGTGTGTGTGAGGCTTGCTTTGACCTTTCACTTTGCTCAGGAGCCCAGCGCTTCATTTTTCACATTCTTGCAATTACGTTAACGCTTCAAGCATTTCTGACTCCAAGTCAGCTAGTAACACCAGGCATAACTCAACACTGTGAGTTTTTCTCCTCTCTGTAGATTCATTAACAGGTCACTGAGGTCCCAACTGAAATTTAAAACTGACTGGTTCTGTTGGGTTGGTTGAGTTATGGCAAGGGAGATAGCAAGCTGGGACCAGACACCGGGGGGTGGGGAGAGAGAGAAGACCCCGGGGTTTGGAGCAGGGAACGGTTGCAGCAGCAGGCATGGCATGGAGTTTTGTCATTTTGGTTAGTTTTGTTGCTGTTGTTTTTGTTTTGGTCAAGAAAGAGAAAACCTCTGAGACCGATACATAGACCAAAACAATAGACACAAGCCTCTATGTTGTGGGTAGCTGCACCCACTCATCCATTGTTGAAGGATTTGATCCCTGTAGGATTTTGTCCCTTTAATCATATCTCTGTGGGATTAAAGAACGGACATGGTAGCTTATGTGAATGAGTACTAGGATGTCAGTCATTTTATTGTATTAAAATATAAGGGACAAAAGAAGTTGTGATTCCTATAAGATGGAGACGTTCTGGCATGGAGAATTTCCTACCTGGCTCCCCACGTTAGTGGTTCCAGAACACGGGTTTAAGGGATTCTGTTTTTTATAGCAGACTCTAAATTTTGAAGGCCAGACTCAAGTGCATTTTGTCATACTCGTGCCCATATTAGTCCTTGAAACATGTTTTCAAGACATTTTGGTATTTTGTCCCACCGAATTGTCCAGGGTAGCTTTCCGTGGGAAAGATTAATTATCTGCTTCAGGGCAAAGTCAACAGAGATATTGACTGAATAGCATATGCTTATCCCAGGTTAAATCTTAGAGCTGGTGTATAATGGAAAACCTGAGAGGGAAATTTATGTTCTTAGTATTAACTATATTTTAATATTACATTGGAAACCAAGTTTGTAGTTTAGAAAAGAGTTTTCTTGCGTATTCGGAATTTATTAGCACAACAGGCATATGGAAAACTGTAAAATGATTCAGTTTCAAAACAAATTATGATAAACAGAAAAAATAGGGATGAATTTTACTAAATACAATGTTTTCATACACATTTTAAATTAAACTTTAATAGCCATATGCTATAAAACAATACATGCATTTATGTTGCTTTATAATTTTTGTGAATATTTTTACTAAAATGATTCACACAAATTTTTACTTTGGAACATAAAAATACCTCATTTTATGACTCGACAGTGAAAGAGCTACAGTTACACAGGTGAAAGGTCATCTTTTTCCTCCCGAGTGTTTGTGCAACAAACCGAAAGGAGGAAAAAAAAAAAAAATCAGATTTTTAAAATCATGTGAGAAACAAACTTGGTTAAATGCAAAACCTGACTCTACTGTATCTTTCAAACAGCACAAGCCTAGCAGTAAACTGTATAAATATGAACCAGACTTTCATTCACTCTGATTCCTTTTGCTCGGAGCAGCCAAAGGGAAGGAGTTTGTCTTGCTAGTCATTATAGAATGAAGAAAGAAATCTGGTTTTTCAGGGACAGAATTAGGGTGCAGACTCGTGGCTCTGTGGAAGTAACTGGCCCTCTTTGTATCTGGCTTCCCATCAGTAAAATGGGGCTTGATAATAAGGCTTGGGATCCCTAATTCTGTACCTGCTGAGTCAAAAGCTGCTTTGTATTTCATTGTGTATTTTGCCCGAGTGAAGACTAGGAAGCAGCCCCCTTGTTCACAGAGCACTTTGAGAGCCTTAGATGAAAGGCACAATATATGTACAAGTATTATTATTATTGATGGGTTTGTGTAACTCCCATTAACGCTGATGGGAGTTACGCATGTGAATTGGCAAGAGAATAGACCCCTCAGTGTTTAGAGCACATGAAATTTACATTTTTTCCAGTGCTGTAATTGAGATGTTGACAAATTGGAGAATATTGATGAGCCTTTGTTTTAAGTATTTCGTGCCAAGTTTGTTTTATTTTTCCTGGTTTGAACAATGGTATGGGTTCAGCCGCAATGAGTAAAAAGGGTAGAGTAAAGATAACTTTGTGTTTCAATATTTTGATGTGCCAATATGAAATGAATTGTCTTAGGCAAATGGAATATGCTGTTTTAATCATTAGCTATGCATGAAAGAAAAATTGATGTTGACATCTTTGCTGTAAAATCGTTGTAATGGGGCCTTCCTTACAATTCATTTTTGTAAAATTCATTTTGTACATTTTGCAGCAATTGAACAATCCCTGCACTGTGAATAGGCAGGATTCCCAGAAATACCGAGACAGTTGGCCCAGTAACTGCTGAGCTCACACTGCACACCACACGCACGTTAACCATACTGTTGCCAGACCCAGTTTAACCTAAATACGCTCCCCTTCTAGCATCTGTGTGTCTCGTCTTTCAGGACACGGGGCTGTACAAGCCAGTGTGGTTCCTCTCAATGCTGCCACCTGCCAAGCCCCTCCCTGGATGTCCCTATCTATCACCCGGGCAGTGGGACTAGAATTCCATCGCTAGATGTTTGTTTATTGTCCAGTTCTTTAGACATCGTGGTGTCGAAACCTAAAAATACCCCCCTTTATAGATAAGCAAGCATCTAAAATAGTCTTACAGGTTTGAGTTTATAATGTATGCTACAGTTACAAAATAGCCTCCTCCCCCACCAACATTGTCCAGTCCTATATTTAAAGGAGGTGGGGGGAGAATTTCAAACCCACTTACGGTGGTCCTAGGTCCTGCTGGAGTTTCTTGTTCAGCCTAGGAAAGCTCTGTCAATGGAATGTTTTCATAGTGGCGGCAATCTCTTTAAAATAACCCTAAATACAATATGACAGATGCCATCTGGCATAATCTTTTGCTAGTTGCTTTTAACTTTTATTTTTCCTGGAGCTAAGTTCATCCGAAACTGGTCACTTACTGTTACAACAAATGCAATGACATTCCTTTTCTTTCCTGTTCTTTTAATTATATCAAAAATTCTCTGAGAATGTAATTGATCACTGAACAGTGCCATAGAAGGAGCTGTTGTACATAGAACATGTAGGTTTCATTTTCAGTCTCTCCCCTCCCCCCAAAATAATATCAAAAAGTATCATCCTTTAACCGTCAGCAAACATCCAAATAATTTCTGTTGATTTTCTCAAGACTTTTTAAAATAGTAACCATAGAAATAAAATGAAACTCTTCTAATAAATAAATGCTCTAGGAGCATGTAATGGTGCCCATAAATGCTTAAAAGCTTTCTATAATTGCTGTTAATTTTGAGTAATTTCTTCCTATATGTATCAACTTACTTGAAAAACCCAGAGTTGGGATTTCTAGATTTTTTTTTTTTAACTTAGTCATGTAAAGGGATGTCTCCTGGTGCCAGTTAGAGTTTAATTTAGAGTAGTAATTAAACTTGAATACTGCCTCATAAACAAAAGATAAACAATAAACCAGCCACGTTCCCTGCTGTTTCATAGCTTTCTTTCCCAG